ACTACTCATCAAGATATATGGATAACATTTCCCCTTCTATGTTTTGTTTGTTGTTATGTACCATTAATACATACTTCTTGAACATATGTTTGTGACTTATCCATGTACTATTTCACAATTCACATAAACTTACTCTCCCTTGTTGTCACACCCCCGGACCAGACGGCGGAAACGTCCAGAGGCGGGTGACTTCATTGTGCAGTATCATAACAATTGAATATAAATGAAACAGAGCAATCCAAACATCATACATTGAGATAACAAACTTACATTGTTTACATATTGTATTTGTTCTTCGAATTACACAAAAGAGACAAAAGTAGAAAATTCCAAGCTACAGCTAAATAGTCCTGCATCCGCGTCCCTTGTTACCTGCTTACTAGATCCCTGAGAATACAAGTCATTTTGAAAAGTGTCAACTAAAAAGTTGGTGAGTTCATAAGCATCTTTGTATAAAATCGTTTACACTTGTTTAGAATCGTTCGTATTGTACTTCCAGAAAATCCGATATTTTCTATGAAATCGTTTGAAGTCTTGCCTTGAAAATCATGGATATATGTGTGCATGTCATCACTTTTATTCATCCTTATAAGGAGTGATTTTGAAAAGTAGTGTGGTTTGTAAAAGCGAGCTATGTACGAGAATAGTTCTTTTGAATAGTAATAGTCAACCGTTTCAAGAAAAATCCCTTATTTTCAAAAAGAGAATGTGGTTGAAAATCTTGTTCCTCTTATCGAGTAAATTTGAGTGTGCGTTCTAGTTTATCCTTATCGAAATCGTAGAAAATCGTTCTCTCCAGAAAATCCTATATTTTCTGCTATAAAATATTCGTAAGTTCTAGTTCCAACTATGTATATGTGTGGGTTAATTTATCGTTTTCAAAATCGTTACAAACGTTTTCCATAGAGTCCTACGCTTTTTAATTTGTAAAAATAGAAGTATTACGACTCTAAACTTGTTAGGAGAAAGAATCAACATGGCAATTATGGACATTCTACGCGATGAAAAAGGACAGTCAATGCAAGAAATGCGGACCATCACTTCTCATGTATAGGACGGTCAACACAACGTGCCAAAAATTTATTTATGAGGTTTTTCCTTACATAAATGTCTAGATGACATAACATATTCTAGTGAGCCGTTATAACCATACTAATCTGACGAAATGCCTGTTTTGGCGTTTCTCAGGCGCCCTCGGTTTGGAAAAGACATTTGTCACCCTAGACTGACCTGTCTAGCTGTAGCGAACAGCGAAGGTGCGGGGTGTCAACCCCGTATAGATCTATACACAAATTCCCGCTCTCCCTCCAGGAGACTCTGGCTATAACTCCTTACAGGGCTTAGACGTACACTAATATTTTTATATTTAGGTACTTTTGAGATTTTTCTGACTAGAATATTAACAACCTTTTGAGCAATCGTTAGAGATCCATTATTTGTTAGATAAATAATGAAATTCGTACTCATTGAATAGAAATATCGTTCTCGTTCCCTATCGTTGATTGTGCTCGTTAACTAGGTGCTCGTGTTCGTTCCTTTTCGTTTATTGAAAAATGAGTCATTTTAGTCAAGAGAAAAAGTGTCAAGTTATAATTTATATAAATTTATAACTGCCAGTTATGACACGCATTTTCTGTTTTATGACATATAGAACATTACTTATGTTCTTAGAGGTTCTATGACAGCAGCTTATGACATGCAAATATTTCTGTCATAAAGGCTCTATTTGATATTTTCTTGATGCAAACTTTTATATTGAATATTTATAAAATACTCCCTGACAGTTTGCAAAATAGTCACAAAGTTTCCATTTTCGAAAATCACTAGAAATAGTGTCAACTTATCAAGGTTCCTTTTTATAAGTTTTATTTCTAGACATGAAAGCATATATAAAGGGCTTAAGTTGGACACATCCAATAGTTGGGAGGCTCTTTTGTACACAAAGTATCTTCTGTTTCTTATGAAGTTGTGAAATCTTACGTTCATGAGGATATTACTAAAATAATAATTTAATAATATTTCCACACACATACAAACATACGTATACATGCAAGTATGTAAGTATTTAGGCAAGATTTGACTTGTACTCTCCCCCAAAAACATTAAAATATTGAAAAAGGTGGGGTATGAAGCTCACCTTGAGTTGGTTGAGGAGTTGTTTGGAGTTATGGAGTGAAGATCTCAAGCTTAAACTCTTGCTGAGATGAGGAACTTCCCTGGGAGAGATGCTTTCCTAAGGATGATCATCACATATTATTATGAATAAAATAATATGGATTCATCTTGAAATATAATAGAATATTAGGTGAGTGGAGGAATTTACCTTTCAACTCCAGGGAGAAATTAAGAATATTTTCCCTTCCAGCAAGATCATTGTTCTTGTCTTGAAGATGAGTTTTGAGGGAAAAGGGAAAAGTGAGAGAGAAAGTGGAGTCTAAACTCCTTTACTGTCGTTGATTTGGAGTATAAGAAAAGGAAGGGAATCTTTGGTGCATGGGGATCTGGTGGTCCATGCATGGATATTTGGTGGGTAAAGCATGGAATACTGTGATTTGCATGGGAAATGAGAATTTCATCAAATCACAAAGTCAACATCTTTGTCTTTATCTTGATTTAGGATAGGATCTTCCTAAATCCTAAACTTTTATTTTATGTAAATATAATTTAAATAATTAAATTTGGCATAAAATAAAGGTTTTAGGGGTCTTAGTTAAGAAAAACACGAGTTTGGTGGGATTCCCGACCTCAAAATACCCCAAAATGAAGAAAATGTCCGGAATAGTCCAAAATCCGGAGCTAAATGGTGAAATCCGGAGCCATTATGCGAATTCCGAAGCTGTAGTTAAATTTCCGGAGTGAAGCTTCCTACTTGCGAGGGTCCGAAGTGAGTACAAGGGGAGTTCCGGAGGTACTGGGCGGGTTCCGAAGTCCATCCTCACTTCCGGAGTCAGGTGCGAAACGGGTAAGTTCGGCCCCGGGTGCGAGGCGGCTAGACGTCCGAAGCAGATCTGAAGGGTCCGATCATGATCCTTCCGGAGTGAAGCCTTCCGGAGCTTCTCACCTCCGAAGTCACTTAAGAGGTTCCGAAAATGCTTCCTCTTGGCTCCTTAGAAGGCATTCCAGACCAAGAGGTTCAGGAGCAAGAGGTTCAGGACCAAAAGGATTCCGGACCAAGAGGGTTCCGGACCAAGAGGTTCAGGAGCAATAGGTTCATGACCAAAAGGATTCCGGACCAAGAGGGTTCCGGACCAAGAGGTTCAGGACCAAGAGGTTCAGGACCAAAAGGATTCCAGACCAAGAGGGTTCCGAACCAAGAGGTTCAGGAGCAAGAGGTTCAGGACCAAAAGGGTTCCGGACCAAGAGGGTTCCGGACCAAGAGGTTCAGGAGCAAGAGGTTCAGGACCAAAAGGATTCCGGACCAAGAGGGTTCCGGACCAAGAGGGTCCTTTTGGGTTTCCTCTTCCGGTTTTGAGCTGTTTTCGACTAAGGAAGGTGCTTAGAGAGATTTGGGAGAGATTCCACATACTTGGAGAGATTTGGGAGAGATTTCATATTCTGGGAGAGATTTCACATACTTGGAGAGATTTCACATATGGGAGAGATTTCACATACTTGGAGAGATTTGGGAGAGATTTCACATACTTGGAGAGAATTGGGAGAGATTTCACATACTTGGAGAGATTCGGGAGAAATTTCACATACTTGGAGAGATTTGGAAGAGATTTCACATACTTGGAGAGAATTGGAAGAGATTTCACATACTTGGAGAGAATTGGAAGAGATTTCACATACTTGGAGAGATTTGGGAGAGATTTCACATACTTGGAGAGATTTCACATATGGGAGAGATTTCACATACTTGGAGAGATTTGGGAGAGATTTCACATACTTGGAGAGTTTTCAGTCTAACACTTCATGGCTCATTAGGAACTCATATTGTACACTTAGAAGTGTGAGAACAAGTCTCACAATAGTACTTGCTTTCTTGAGGTCGGAATTTCCTAGCCAAAAAGGCTAGTTGTGACACTTGTTGTGCCTCATTTTGACAGGTTCTCAGATCTATATGCTCCAATTTGATTCGTTCATGTTTTTTCTTACTTTTTACTTTCACTTGTTCTATTATTCCATAGTTACCGGTTGCACATGCCATATATTTCTACTCCCTATGAAAACATAATGGTTGATATCGGGAAAATGACTTATAAGGGTAAGAATGTTTCAGAAATGTTTAAAAAAGACCATCGAAGTTTTTGTTGTTCAAAAAATACCATCCAAGTAAGGGTGTTGTATAAAAAACACCAAGAAAGTATACCGTTTGTTCAAATGTTACCTATGGTAACCGGTCGGTGTAGGTTACCTCTCTTATTCGACCGTTTAAAAAAATAAAAAGAAAAAAGAAAATGACATGGAGTATACGATCGATTAACTTAGTCATACGTGAGATTTTACCCAATTTCTTGTCAACAATAGGAAGAGAGGGAAGTCGATTCCTCTAGGGTTGATCGATCAAAATATCTGAAGTCGATCCCTTGATACAACCGGATATGTTCATCTTCATGTAAGTTATACTCTTAGAAATCGACCTTTATTTTTATTTTTTGCTTCAATCACTGGCTTCGATACCCCAACCCCTCTAAATTAGATGAACGTTGGATTTATAATGGAGGTTTCTGGAGTCATCGTTCATTGATAAAAATCAGACCATCACTTATTCTCATGGGCAACAGACCCTAAATTAGGGGTAACAAACCCTAAATCAACCCTCATAGTTTTGAACTTTGTTGAACGTTCTTGAAACTGTATTGTTTTAATTAGTCATTTGTTCAACCTTTATTTCTCTTATGTGATTATGTGACTTGCTAATCATTAACATTGGCTTTTGTAGTGCTTAAACTTTCAAGTAGTTGACTGTGGCCGTTAAAACAAGAATGTTGTTCTCAACAGATGGTGCATTGAGTATATATGTTTACCATAAAAGAGTATTTATTCCTAAGCCCTTTATGTACTTCAATCCTGATAAGACTTTTGTCATGGGGGTAGACTTACGAAACATGGAGTTTAAGGACTTGATTATCCACATCCGTAATTTGACGAAGGGTATGTGTCGTGATATGTACTACTGTCTTCCAAACCGGGCCATAGTAGATGGGTTGAGGGAGCTGAGAGATGAAGATGATTATGTAAGGTTTCTTGATGTTGGATATAAAAATAAGAGAAGAATCAGTATCTACATTGATCACGACCACGAGCCACTTATGCAATGGATTGAAGAAGAGATAGCCGAAGATGGAGTTTACGATGATACTGATCCATGTTCTGATGATGTGAACTCGGTCATGTCAGATAATATATCAGTAGACCATGAAGCTGATGATGAGGTTATAGAAATTCCTAAATTTGTTGATCCTTTTTTATCCAAGAAAAATCTTATTCCAGAAGGAGGGATATATGATGAAGTTGATGATGAGGCCCACCACTTTCCTATTCATAATCCCAACCAGAAATGGGACACAATGGTACCTGTGTTAGGCATGAGATTCTATGACAGATATGAACTCAAGCAAATGTTAACAAATTATGTTGTGTTTAAAGGTTATGCATTGTGGTATGAAAAAAATGACTCAACTAGATTGTTAGCGAGATGCTATAAAAATAAAGAAGGGAAGGCAGCTTGCCCTTTTAGACTATAGGCTACTCCAAAGAATAGTGAAAATTCATTCCAGATCAAATCGCTAATTGATGAACATAACTGTTGCAGACAAGTTAATTTGGGGTCTATTGTGACATACAGGTGGATTGGTAAAATGTTAACCAATGACATTTTGGAAAAGCCCCGCCTCAGCTATAGGAACATGGTAGCATTAGTTAAGAAAAATTTTGGTTTGCATGTAAGTGTTGGGCAATGTAGAAATGCCAAGAGTTTTGCACTAGATGAAATTTCAGGTAGCTTGGTGGGACACTATGAAAAGTTGTGGGATTATGGTGCTGAGTTATTGAGGTCTAATCCGGGTTCAAAAGTCTCAATAGAGGTGAATCCTATGACCGATTCTACAACTTACTTTAAGAGAATGTATGTTTTCCTGAGGGGTGTGAAAGATGGTTGGATTAAAGGATGCAGGAGGGTGATTGGTGTTGATGGGTGTTTTTTTGAAGGGTATTTGCAGAGGTGAGCTATTAGCAGCTGTTGGCAGGGACTCCAACAACTAAATGTACCCTCTGGCAAGGGTTGTAGTGGCAGTAGAAAACAAGGAAACCTGGAAGTGATTCTTACATCTGCTACTTGAGGACATTGAGATAGGAGACGGCAGAGGTCTTACCATTATTTCTGAGCATCATAAGGTTTGTTCTTAACTTCTTGTAAATACATAACTTAGTGTTTTATATGTTTATTTGTATGTTCTTTTAGATTTAATGTTAATATTTTCATCTGGAAGGCTTTGGTAGAAGTTGTTAAGGAAAGAGCACCAACATGTGAGCATAGGCAATGTGATAGACACATCTATGCTAACTTTAAGAAGAAATACACAGGTGTTGAGTTTAGGAAGTTATTCTGGAGAGTTGCAAAGTCTACAACCGAGTCAGTTTTCCGATCTTATATGAGGGAAATCAATGTGATGTCTACACATGCTTATGATCACCTAATGGAAAGAGACCCAAAGACATGGTGCAAGGCATTTTTTGAGCTTGATAGGTGTTGTGATGCCGTGGAAAATGGAATATCAGAATCTTTCAATGCAGCAATTATAGAGGCCAAGAAAAAACCTATAATATCAATCTTGGAAGAAGTTAGAGTGTACGTGATGGATAGTGTAACATCCGGTTTCCCAGGTATATTGTTTTAAGTATTTGATTCAAGGATTTTGGAGGGACTCGACGAGTTGGTGCCTCAACTCGTCGAGTAGGGTCGCGACCTGGTGACGTGGTTAATGAATGGACTCAACGAGTCGGAGAGATGACTCGCCGAGTCAGCGCTGTTGGCAGAAACCCTAATTCTCCTGGACCTGGGCCTATTTAAAGGCACTTAAGGTCTCCTATTGCGGCTACCCTTCAGAGGAGAAAATCATAAATGAGTCTTGAGTGCTTTGGGAAAGAAAGAGAGCCATGTTGAGCTTCTTGGTGGGTGTCTTGCAAGGAGGAGGAAGGTTTCAAGCCAAAGGGGTCAGAGGAGGTTGTAGATCCGCGATTTGCAACCAAGGAGCATCAGTGGGAGGTATCAATTCGGACTCCTTTCTTCCCTATTTGAGTAGATCTTTCTTTTGTGGATTAGGGATTGTATTACCTTCTTGGTGGGGTTTTGAATGCATCAAACCCCTCTTATGAGCTGATAGCATAGATCTGGACCTTGGAGGGTCCAGAGAGTCCGAAAGTGGGAAGCCATGGTGGAGCAACCATTGGGCTTTGAAGTTAGGAACCATTAATGGAGTTTTTATGGCTTATAATGCAAAATACACCATGCATGGACATCAAGATCGGACCTTTACGCAACTTTTGGGTAGTAGGAGGTTAGATCTATGAGTTAGAGCTACAGATCTGACCTCAGGGGGCTGAGTGAGTAACCCAATGGAGCCAACTCGCCGAGTCCATGGGATGACTCGACGAGTTGTAGCGGGTGTGACCCAGTAGTGTTGGGTCAAAATTATGGTTTATACTTTGCTTTTCTAGGCAATTGTATTTTTCTGTAATGTTTTATGAGTTTACGGCCAGGTGGGGTGTTTACGGCCGTAAACCCATTTACGGCCGTAAACCCATTTACGGCCCATGTTTCTCATGTATATATAGGGTGAGGGGTGTGAGGAAGAAACGGGATAAACAGATAGAGAGAGAGAGAGAGGAGGGAGCTTATGTGTGTATTCTAAGGTGTTTTCTAGAGAGAGAAAGTGAATCTTGTGTAAGGAATTTCAATCATATCATCAATACATTCAAGATTCAAGTTATTCTTCTTCTCCTTCTCTTCTATTTTGATCTGACATCATCCGTTTGATTGGGATTCCGCACCATCAAACGGATCTGATTGATACACAAGCATTTTGGGGACTTACAATTGGTATCAGAGCTTGGTTTGTATCATTCAATTTTGTCAGATCTAGAGCTTATTTGATCTTATTTTGGAAAGATTCTTGCGTTTTTGGATAGATCTCTGAAAATTAGGGGGGGGGGGGGGGGGGTTGTTCTTCGCGTTTGTGATAAAAACGAGTTTTTGATCGAGTTTTGGAGCAAAAAGAGGTGAAAAACGTTGTTTTTCACGTAATCTGCAAAGAGTTTACGGCCTTTGAAGGGTTTACGGTCGGCGGCGGCGGCGACATTTACGGCTAGGGTTTCCCGGAGTTTACGGCCGGCGGTTTGCTGCCGGAGTTTGCGGGCGGCGGTTTGCGGCCAACCTCGGACGTGTGCGGCTCGGTCTCGTGTACGGCTAGGCGGCTTCGGACGGTGTTCACGGCTAAAGCGACTTCGGACGGTGTTCGTGTCTTCGGTCGGAGGTCCTGGTCCGCTCAGTCTTCGCAGCTTTCATTAAAAAATTCGAGGAGTTTTGGGGTTGCCAGGGATCGAACCTGGGTCCCCGTGTTCATCAGCAAGGCGCCTTACCAGCTGATCTAGCCTGTTAGATAGAATAAACATTTCGAAATTTAATTCAAAACCACTCCCAGTCGCTTCTAGTTTCGCAAAATTGACACTTTTAACCCCAAAAATCAATTTCTTTCATTTTTAAAATTTCTTTTTCAACCCAAATTTTTAGTTTTTAATTTTTGACTTTTAATTTTGACTTTTTACTTAAAATTTTGACTTTGACTTTAAAGTTTGACCTTTGACTTTAAAATTTGACTTTCTCGTTTAATCTTCAAATTTTCAAATTTAGCTTTTCGGTTTGACTTTTAAGTTTGAATTTTTAAGTTTGACCTTTTAAATTTGACTTTTAAGGTTGACTTTTGAGTTTTTAGTCAAATAATTTTTAAAAAAATAAAATAATAATAATAATAATAACAAAAAAATGAGTTCCAAATCCATTCCGATAAATGAAGTTTCATGTACTCCAGCTTGTGAAACTACGATTAAATTTCTTCGGGAACAAATTGATTTATTAAAAACAGAAGTTGAGGACCTGAGATATGAAGGATATCAACTTAGAAAAAGGACAAAAACCCCTAAAGGTCCAGTTAGAAACAAAAATAAAGGACTTTAGGAGACTTCAGGAAGACTACAGTAACAAATGTGAAAACTATGATTATATCAAGAGACAGAATGTTGAGTTAATTACTGAGCTTGATACATTAAAAGGGCAATTTGAAACTGCAAATTTTGATTTTAAAAGGTTTGATGTATCAAGCGAGGTAGTTGCCAACATGATTGACCATTGCCTGCAGTTCAAACGAAACCAGCAAAAGGGTTTAGGATACGATAATGTACCACCTCCTTTTAATCATACATATCAGTATCACTCTTTGACGAAAGAGGAGATTGCCCACGAACCATTCATGGTTTATGGCAAGCCATCTGGTTTTGTTTCAGGAGGATTTATTAATGTTGAAAGTACTAACGTTTCTACTTCCCCTGCAGATCAATCCTTAGATCAGTCAAAGCACGAAGTTAAAGGATCTGTTTCTGATAACAAAACTGAGTCTGAACCTGATGTTTTTGTTTCAAATGATAACTCTTTTGTTTCCGATGTTAAAATCAATGATACATCTTGTGATGCTTTTGCTCCGGATCATGTTGAGTTAAATTTTTTTGACATATTTGATGATTTGTTTGAAAATATTGATGTTCCTGTTTCTAGCACATCTACTTCATGTGCAGGTAAAGTAGCAGAGGATGAGAACAAAGAGAAAACCATTGAACAAACCAACATCTCCTTGAGCTCTGAATCTGTTGCTTCGAACTCAGCTGCTTCTGATCAACCTGCTATTGAGAAATACAGGACACCAATTCCAGTGAAACAGAGTGCCTGCTGCAATTGTGTTTGTGGGAAAAATAAGAGACAAGGCAAGGACACGCCACCAGGGGCGGGAAGAAACAATTTCCCAGTGAAGAAAAAGACTTGTTTTCACTGTGGAACACCTGGTCACATTGCCCGAAACTGTCCAAATCGCGCATACGTTCCCTACTACACACAAGGATGGCAAAACGCGTCAAGAGGGAGATACTCCAAAAGAAACCCCTCAAGGTCACATTCAGACAATGGTGACTGGAACGCGCAGAAGGCCAAGAATAAAACCCACAAGGCCAAGAATCCGAATCCCAAGGGCAAGAAGGGAATGTCGGCCAAGAAGCCAAATCCAAGAGATGCTCCCGTGAAGCCAAAATCAAAGTCATCTCAACGGCCGACATCAAGTTCAAAATCAAGTGCTGAGCCACCCATCAGATCGAAAAAGAAATGGGTTAAACCCAACTACAAATGGGTTCCAAAGGCTCACTCTCCCAAATCACCTAATGACTCTAATATTTCTACATCTTCTGTTTTTGATAAACAGGACATGTCGTGGGAGAATGTTCCTTGCAAAGATGACAAAGGTCGACCCAGTTTCAAAATGGACTGGGTTCCAAAGACCAACTGATCCCGCTCTGTGTCGGAGCAGCTGTGGAGGCATATCATTAGACTTCGGTTTGTTGGTAGTGGCTGTTCCAGGCACATGATAGGAGGCATCTCTCAACTGTACAACATTCATAACTTTGTTTGGGAGTATGTGTCCTTTGCGGGAAGGGAAGAAAGGAAGGGATCACTCATGGGGTTAGAGCTTAACGATGTGAAAATTTTTTGGATATGTTCTGAGATTACGCGGGCTGTTCTCAGACCTTCTGGATGCAAAG